GGGGCGCCGGCTCCCGCAGCCTCCCGCAGCCGCCCTGCCCCAAGCCCCCCGAAACTTTGCAGGCGCCGGGGCCGGCGCAGCAGCAGCAGCAGCAGCACTTGTACCTACCCAGAGCCTGAGAGGGACTTTTCCGCTCCCTCCTGGCACTTTAGAGGGAGCTGGGTAAAATCCCCCGCTTCTCCATGCTGACACTCTTCTGCAGGCGCTCTGTTGCTCTTGTAACGAGATCCTGATTTTTTTTCCCCTCTTCTTTTTTTTTTTTTTTTTTTTTTTTTGTGCCGGGGGGGGGGGGGTGGTGCAGGGAGGGGTTACGGGTGAAAAAAACAAAAAAAAAGGCAAAACCCACCAAATTTGGGGTCGGAGCATCTTCTTTTCGGGCTTTTCCCGTGGGAAAGTGGGATTTCCAGGTAAGAAACTTTATTTTCCTTTTAAAATTGAGGAATTTGGGTGAAATTCACTCCCCCCCCCTCAAAAAAAAAAAAAAAAAGGAGTAACTGATTTAGGGCAAAAGTAGATTTTGGGGTCAAAAATCGGGATTTTAGGGTCAAAAATCACAGCTCAAATCGGGTCCTTCCCATCGTGATTTCTGCCTCAGTTTCCCTTTTTTCTTTTTTCCCCAAAAAACACCTAAATATGTTGTTTTTTTCATCCAAAAACACCCTCTGTTTTTTTCTCCTGGGAGGGGGACGGTTCTCACTGACAGGACCCCAAATTGGGGCAAAACAGGAGGAAAAAAGGGTTAAAAATTTGTTTTTTGTCTACCTTCCCTTTTTAACAAAAATCACAACTTTGTGCCATTTTTTAAAAAAATGTTCAAAAAAGATTTTTTTTTTTTCTTCCAAAACTCCCCAAGTTTCCACCCAGTTTTTCTCTGGAGGGGGGGGATTCCCACCAGCAAACCCCCCCATTGGTGCAAAAAGGGAGGAAAAAAGGGTTAAAAATCTGATTTTTTGGAACTCTCACTCGTTAACAAAAATCGCAACTTTCCCATTTATGCCATTCTTCTAAAAAATCATCAAAAGATATTTATTTCCCCCCAAAACTCCTCCAGTTTACACCTTTTTTTTCTCCCGGGGGGAGTGTGTCCCACTGGCAGGACCCCAAATTGGGGCAAAAAGGGTGGAAAAGGGTTAAAAATTCAATTTTTCTCAACTCTCACTCGTTAACAAAAATCACAACTTTCCTGTTTGTGCCATTCTTCTAAAAAATGGATGAAAATGTTTTTTTTTTCCCCCCAAATCTCCCCAAGTTTCCACCCAGTTTTGCTCTGGAGGGGGGGTTTCCACCAGCAAGACCCCACATTGGGGCAAAAAGGGAGGAAAAAGGGTTAAAAATTTGACTTTTCTGAACTCTCGGACATTAACAACCAAAATTGCAACTTTCCCATTTATGCCATTCTTTTAAAAAATGGTCAAAAAATGTTTTTTTTTCCCCCAACCCCCCACTTTATACCTGTTTTTTCTCCCGGGGGGGGTGTGGTGTGTCCCAGCAGAACCCAAAATTGGGGCAAAAAGTGTGGAAAAAAAGGGTTAAAAATTCTCTGGAAATTTGATTTTTCCCGACTTTCGCTTATTAACAAAAATCACAACTTTGCATTTTTACCATTCTTTCAAAAAATGGTCAAAATAATTCACGAACACCCCCACCCCCAAGAAATAAGCCTTTTGGAGACCCAAAAATAGTGTTTTTTATAAATACAGATTGAAAAATGACGTAAGAAGAGCCAGCGGGGGAGGAATTTAAGAAAATTTTCTCCCCCCCCCCAGCATCATTGGGTTGGTTTTGGGGTATTTTGGGGTGTATTTTTGTAATTTTACCAAATTGTAATGATTTTACAGGAATGGGGTTGAAGCTCTCTGTGAATTTTCTCCTCCTGGCCTTGGGTAGGTGTGTTCCCCCCCCAAAAAAAAGGGGGAAATAATGGAAAAATCGTGGGTCTTGGGTTGATATTTCCCGTTTCTTCTCCAGGAGCCGCCGTGGATGTCCCACCGGCACGAGAAAAAGGTGATTTTTACTGGGTTTTGCCCCAAAACGTGGTTTTTCCACCCAAAACGTGGTCTTTTTGGCTTTTATGTGGGGAGAGGTGGGAGGGAGAAGAAGTTCCACCTGGTTTCTATGGGCTTTTTTTTGCATTTTTTGGCCTCAAAAACGGCATCCAGAGGGAGCTGGAGAGGTGGGGCTGGTGGCAACCTCGTGAAGTTCTTGGTGGCCACCACCATGGCCTCGGTGGCCAAGGGCGAGGTCCTCCCCGTGGGTCTTGAAGGGGTTTTCGGGGGGTTTGAGAGGAAATGGGGGTTTTGGGTGGAAAATGTGGGGTTTGGGGGGAAGATGGGGATTTGGGGGGAAATAGGAGAACATCAGGAGAACTTCTGGAGAACCTCATGAATTTCAACGAGGCCAAGTTCAAGGTCCTCCCAGTGGGTCTTAGAGGGTTTTTCTGAGGGGGGGAAACATGGGGGAGGATGTGGGTTTGGGGGGACATCAGAGACCCTCAGGAGAAGCTCATGAAGTTCAACCAGGCCAAGTTCAAGGTCCTCCCTTGCGGGTCTTGGAGCCACCACAAGCCCATCTGCAGGTTGGGGGAAGAATGGGTGGAGCCCCGAGGAGAAGGACTTGGTGGGGGATGGTGGTGGGTGACAAGAAGCTCCACAGGAGCCACCCACGTGGGTTGGAAGCCCACCAAGCCACCGGCAACTTGGGCTTCAAGCCCAGCAGCGTGGCCACCACCAGGGCGAGGTGGGGTGGGGTGGGGTGGGGTGGTTCTGCCCCACTCTAGGGCCACCAGAAGGACGTGGACCTCTTGGAGAGGAGGCCCCGGAGATGGTCCAAGGGATGTTGTGCTTGTTGTGAGCGTTGGGGGTTCTTCAACCTGGAGAAGACTCCATGGAGACCTCGGAGCACCCCGTCCCAGTTCCATACTGGGCTTACTGGAAAGTCATGGGGTGGTCTTCACCGGTGGGTGGAGCCATAGGACGAGGGGGGAAGGGTTTTCACCTGAAAGAGGGGAGATTTGGGGTCGATTTTAGAAGGAACTTCTTCACCCTGAGGGTGGTGGGACCTTGGCCTAGGTCAAGCTCTGGTTGCCCCCATCCCTGGAGGGGGCTTTGGGCAACCTGGGCCGGTGGGAGGTGGCCCAACCCAAGACTTTCTGTGGTTGCCACCACCCCCCCACCCCCAATCCACGTGTGACCCGGGCCCTTCCCTTCAGCCCCACTTCCACCCCGAATCCATGGGACCCCCCCAGGAGAAGACAACCCTCATTTTAAGTTGCTCCCTCTTTTGAATCAGGAATCCCGAACCCGGCGGGTTTCACCCCAAAAATGGAGGTGGGGGGTGTTTCCCCTTCAACCTTCTGTCTTCCCCCCAGAATCCTCGCTCTACCCCTACGGCCCCGCCCAGCGCGACCAGAAGAACCCCAAACTGGATGATGGGACGTCCAAGAAGGTCTCCCTGACCGTGCCCTTCACCTTCTACGGAAAAAAACACCAAAGCCTTTACGTACGACCCCAAAATCCCACCTTTTCCACCCGTTTTCTCTCCATTTTCCTCTTTCCCCCCTTTTTTGAGGTCCTTTTCCGGTCCCTTCTTTCTCTTGTCCCCCCCCAAAAAAAATCTCCGGTTGCCAGAATCTGAGGGGGGTGGTTTCAGGTCCTCGTGTGGTTGGTGGAGCTTTGGAGGAGGGTTTTTCTGGGGGGGAGGAGGGGGGAAATGTGGGGTTTGGGGGAAAAATGGGTGTTTTAGAGGAAAA